TTTAAAACATTCATTTAACGAAACAATAGAAAGACTAAAGTATTTTTTTTTCATTAAATTGTCTCATGCATTTTTTAATGTGATGTGCACCGTGTAAGTTAATAATAACTCTGAAAGCCTTGCGTGACTAAAGTCAAAATCATGGCCAGTGTAAACGGAACCGTGTATAGACGGACCGCAATAGAGAATTTGTATCAAAACCGATTACAAAACGAACATGAAAGGTTCAGAAAAACATGGCTGCGCGGACTAATTAGTCGAAATGTATCGAACCTTGATCAAGTTGCATTAAAATGTTAATGTATTTTATTGATTAATTTGGATTCTTTTATTTACACATTACTAAGTTTGCTTTTATTAACTCTCGTGAAGAAGCTGTAGTCTAGTGTGTATTTGATATTAGCTTACGCCCGCGATTCCGTCGGCGTGGTATTAAAAAAAACAAAAGCTAGTAGCCTATGATTTTCCAGACTATGCTGATACAGATTTCATCCAGATTCGTTTAGCCGTTTAGGCTACAAACCCTAACAAACACCCATCCATCCATTTAAACATTCGCATTTATAGCATTAGTAAAATAAACGGAATCTAATAAAATTGGTAGTCTATGAGTCTTTATCTAAACTCATCATCACCATATCCCTGTCCTTATGCCACTATGTGTGTCGGCAGACCAAGTTTTCTTGTTTAAAATTGATCTATCAGTCTTCCATCAATTCATCTCTTTTTAGATCTACTTATGCTGGGTTGTTTCTTTCCATTTATTTTTTCTGATAAAATCTGTCACTAGCTGTCTTTCGCGTCTGATTGTTCCGGTGTGTTCCTTGGAGATTCCAGAAGTCACTAAAGGATAGCCACCGAGGGGATTTTAATGGGCCAAATTTTACATAACCCTGCATTCCCCCTGAGCTCAAGGTATGTTTGAAAGATTTCCCCTGGCACCAAAAAAAAAGCTGTCGCTCGCGTTTAATTAAAAGAAATAAATAATAATATAGCCTATGTCACTTAGTGATAATGTAGCTTTTTAACTGTGTAAGATTTGTTGAAATCCGCCAAGTAGTTTTTGATTTATTAAACTACATACAAAAATCCAAAAATATAAATCTTTCCTCTTCATAATATTAGTATAGATATAGGTTACCTAGTGATCCATTAGTGTTAGGTTGACCTAATTTTCAACGGAATAAAACTCTAGTTACGTAGTTAGGAAACGCAATTTATGAAGTTATCAAACCAAAAACAAACGAATGGTTAAATGTAGCTGGCTAGGCAATTAGTCTTTTTAAAAACTTTTTTGTTCTTAGAATATTAAACTAAAAAAAGTCAATTTTACAAATCCACTTATAAAACTAGTTCTGGATATGTCATTTGTATCATGAAGCTATAATTTTCCGCGTCACCTGCTCACTTTCACAGAACAATGCATTTGCCCCACTCCGGTTTATTTCATCGGCTCGTCAATTATTCATTATGCGAAAGATAACAATTGTGGCTCATATACGTGGCCGGAAGAATTTTAATATAAAACATACTTTATTTATTGATTTATTTTTATTATGGACTAGCTGTTTCCGTGCAGCTTCATGCCCATAAATTATAAAAACTTTATTTTATTGTCTACATTTGTCATATTGTCAATTGCAAGTGTCAAAATTACTGTTACAATAATAACCTTCCTTCCTTAATGTTGGCAGCTTGTAGTTTATGGTATTTAACAGCGTAAAATTTATAGCCTAAAGCGTGTCGTAAGTGTAGGGCTTTTTTTTTTAAAAAAAAAAAGAAAATATTCAAAAGTATGCTGTGATTGCTGACATGCATTAGATGGCAAATAGATTAAAGTAAACAATGTTTGAAAATTAAAAACAAATCATTTTACGAAACCTGGTCATTCTCCTGCAATTAAATATATGACATGTTTCAAGTTTTATCTAGATCGCTAATCTGTTTGGAATTACCTGGTTACAAACGTCCAGACGTTACCAACGTTAAGCACGCATAGCTTAAAAAAAACTATCGCACAACTGTTTAGTCGTTCTTTGATTCCTATGAGCTTATATGGTATGCGTACTCTACTCGATTTTTAGTTGTGCAACTAAACAGTTGAATAGGCTGCGAAACAATCGACTATCGCACAACAGTTTTGCGATAGTTGAGCCAAAGGTTCGTCCGCTTTAGTAAGATTGTACGTAACTGTATGAAGTAAAGGAATAAAATATTTTTGTACATTTATAATAACATTACCAGTTATTACTCACAGTTTACTTGGCATATTTTAAGCATAACGTGTTACGTATTGTCTCCATTGTGACGTAACATAAACATATGTTCATTGAATAGAACTGGTTGGTAATTAAAAAAATCAATAACGACTAACTATAGTATACATGGGGAAGAATACGAATCGAATGACAATCAAGTGCAGTCTGAAGCAGATTAAGCTACAGACTGCAATTGAGCGGTTTTTTTTGTAATAAAAGGGGGCAAACGAGCGGCGAGAACACCGAGGTGGTTAATGACGCCCATGGAGGTCCGTAACACCAGAGGAACTACAGATGTGTTGCAAGGCTTTAAGGAAATGATAGGCTCGCTTCTTGAAGGACCCTAAGTCGTATTGGTTTGGAAATACCGCTGAGGACAGACCGTACCACACGCGGCTGTGCGGGGCAGAAAGTTCCGCTGAAAACGAGTGTTGACGAGACAGACTACCTACGTGTAAACGTAAAAAGAAAGTCGGGAAAAATATATTTAAATGAATCTCATGAATGAATTTTAAACACTAATAAACTAGCACTAACATCGGTTTAAACTTTAAGCTACTGGTTCCAATAGTCTTTCGATTAGCAACAACTTAAAAATTCCAATATATTCTGAAAATTTTTCATTTCCTGATCTATTTGCATTGATTTATGACGATTGGAGCGGGTCCATACCTTTGAATAAACTATCGCACAACTTTCGTGCGATTGTCGATTGTTTAGCAGCCAATTCAACTTAGTTGCAAATCTAAAGGTCGAATAATGTGCGCACTTCTATAAATCGAAGCGCTACTAAACAGTCGTGCGATAGTTTAGTCAAAGGTGTGCGTGCGCGATTAGTAAGCCGATGGTTCATATGCATTCTTATTTGAACTGTACAATACGTTTTATGGATCTCATTCCATATTTGAATACAAATAAAAAGTGAAAGTCACATACTTGTGACGACCCATCAATTACATTCGGTTATCCTGAATTATTAACCTCCACTATTGAGTTCGTTCTATTTTCGAATACAAACACATATGAATTTCTTATAACAACCCAAATACCAAACGTTGTTAGTACCATTTTCATTAAAAAAATCCATTCGCATGACTTCCGAGTAAAATAACTTTCGATTATAATTACTCTACATTCTAGAACTTAGGCAAGTACACCTTATACGTTTGTGGCTAGGAAGTTGTGGTTTGAAAAAACATGTGAGAATAACATCCGATGTATGTCAACATAATATTTATAAGCTGTTCCCGTGCGAATTCATCTGCATAAAACTATAAAAAATTAATTTTATTGCTTACATTTGTCAAATTATCAATAGCAAATGTCAAAATGACATGGCATGACAACTTTGGCAATCTTGCTTTCTTGATGTTGGCAGCAATTTATGGTCCCTTTCCCACAATAGGGTTTTCATCCAATATGTTTACCCCCTAAGTTTAATCTTGTTAAAATATATAGCCTAAAGCGTGACGTAAGTGTAAGGCTTTTTATTGAAGTAATAATTATTCAAGAATATGCCGTAATTGCTGACATCTTACGCAACAAAGTGTGTATTTAGGCTTTATTATAATAGTATAGAATTATAGATATAAGCCTTTTTAATGTTTTTGTTACGAGAATGTAAATTTCTACGACGTTCATTTTCTACAATTCGAATCTTAAAAAGTAAAACTTGGCCTAGAAACCAGTGTCATTCTTTTGAAGTACGACGTTTTTTTGTCATTTCCAGGTATTCAATTATTTACAGTTTTTGCTTACGAAGATGTTGTATTGAAACCTTATGATATCAATTAGAACGAAATTAATTACTTAAAGATAAAATTGAAATGGAAATAAACGTCAATAACGTAAATATAAAACAAAAAAAAAGGAAAACAACTCACATATTGTTTCCTCTTAGTGTGCGGCGTACGAAAAGACTATCAAATCGATTTTCATGCGATTTTCGTCCGTTAACACGTGACTCAATCCAAAACAATGCCACGTGTCCTATTAAAAGACTGAGATTGACGAGAATGCGAAGGAAATGTAAAAAGTGTATAACCCAATTCAGTAATTATCATAAACGTTTTTTTAAAATACCAATAACATTAATAAGTAACTTTTCCTTCAAATAGCTCATTTAACTACATGATAGATATACATATTATAAAATTTAAAATTAACAAAGATCATTCGCACCAAAACAGTTTTATTTTAGTTTAAGATATTTAAAGGGGGTGTTTTTAAAAGTTTTATTATTAACACTTTTTAAGGTGTTCCTCCGTAGTTCTTGGAAGTTAAAGGATTATTATGATTTATTAAAGAAAGATATAACAAAAAAGTAAATACGATTTTTTTGTTACCTATTTCTTGAGTATTGTACCCTGACCTTTAGGTTTAACGAGATAGTCTAAACCACTGAGCCACATTACTTATTGGGATCTTATATTATCTTTAATAAATAATTATTCGATTAAGAGAAAATAGATTGATTACTCAATAACTACTGAAACATTTAAATTTAACCATATTACTCTATTTTAACTATTTTAAAAAACGAAGAAAATATATAATTTTGTATATTTTCACAAAAACTCTGATCTACAACACAAAAATAGCAATTTTACCACAAACCAAACACTAACAAGATTATACGAACACAGTCCAAAAACAACTGGCCAAAATTTACGCTCGAAATCAAATGAATGCATAACAAAATAATCTAAACAAAGCGTAAAAGAAATCTTCAAAATTACTCACCTGAATAAATTTGTAGACTAATCAATTATTCTCAAAAACACATTCGATGTGAGAAACTGAACACATTGGAGAGAAAAAAATCAGTTCAAGTTTATTGTGTGATGTACTTTTCTCGCAGATATTTCCCACATCGTAATTACGCGCGCGTTTCCGCCGGCTTCCGATTTTCAAATAAACTAACCAAGATGGCCGACACCGGCTGACATTGTTATAAATAGTGATGGCGCTTGATCGAAACGCGTGTATCGATATCGACATAGTTCGTATATTGCTTACCTTACATTTCGATTCAGTAAAGCTCCGAGTTACTGAGGGCATGTAGAGCAGATTTTAGACGGTTTCTTGAGTTTTGTATTCGACATTAAAATATTGGTATGTTTTTATTATAACTTTAAATCACAGAAGAAAAAGAAATATAATCAGTTGAGTCGTGACTGCATGCGGTTTCGAAATTCAGCTGATCAATGTCAAATACTTTAACGTAAGATATTTTACATAATTGTAAGATCTTTTACGTTATACGACTTTTAATTGAAAATTAGTATTCTTACAAGTTATAAATGATGAAGCAAGTAGCAGATAAGCAGACACCAGTTTACAAAAATACAAGTTAGCGCGATAAAGAAATCACTAGATAATTTTCTCATAATTGAAATAAAGAAAAGAAATACATATTCCAAGTAAAGGTTATTCACGTTAGTTTGTCAACTTATTGTCGATGACAATAATTTATCGACATATGTATCCCATAACTAGTAAGTTGGTAAAACGTAACATTATTGTCATATTGTTTGTTCAGATTACAAAGTTACGAATACATAAAATTTTTCAGCAATTATGTTGACAATTTTAAACATTTTCTCACTGACGAATATTTTGCAAGTGGAAGCCGTCTGCTACATTATTTAAATACTTGATCTTGTAATACCACCTTTAATAATAAATTCCCACCTGTAGTACCCACTGTAGTAGAAATAGCGAAGCGACAGTTTAAAGAAAGTGCACGAAACCATTAATATATGTTCTGTTTACACTATTCCAATCCAGGAATCGAAGTCAGCGCTGGATTACAACCTGAAATATTATAACCCACACTGAAACCCATACCGAGCAATTTTTCCAGTTGTAATCCAGTGCTGATTTGGATAGCTGGACTGGCATAATGTAAACAGGATATAACATCTCGTTCCACTCATGTTGGGTCACTAGTTTATTTAAGCAATTTCCGTGCATTGGTCACACGTACAAGTTCTAAAAATGTTATGATATAATGCCAACAAATGGGCAAAGACAAAACTTTTGGCTTTCAGCCAAATACTACAAATACATCTATTAGGGGGTACTCTGTCAAGTTTAATAATGGCTTGAAGGAATTATGCAACTGTTCACAATTATCTGCTGCAATAACTTCACACATTTGAACTCAAATGTATGGACGATGAAACGAAAGACATATCCTACTATGTGTCGTAAATCGTCATGTCAGAAACTAAATAAATGAAAACGAAAATGAGAATTATACTATCACTGTTGCCATGGATTTCCACAGCCGAAGCAGAAAAACTCAGTATATTCAGAGAAAATGTGTTTTTGTACAATTGTTTCGTCAATGGAAACTTACGGTTACTAATATGTGTCAAGCGCTGGGTTTACTAATATTATAAATGCGAAAGTTTGGATGGATGGAGTTTGTTAGAGTTTGTAGCCTAAACTACTGAACGCATTTGAATGAAATTTGGCCTACGCCAATATCTATATAACTACATTTCAATCATAGTTTGTAAGAACACATAGGCTACTTGCTTTTGGTTTTTGATACCACGCGAACGGATTCGCGGGCGAAAGCTAGCATCTTTAAAATTATAAACTTGTGATATAGTGGAAAAATCCCTAACTAATCTTATCATACATCAAACATCTTGCTGAATTTGTTAGATTGTAAAAAATTTGTTTTAATACAAAGTAACAAAATTGCATGTGAATCGAAAAGCAAGACCAGATGTATTAATATCATGACAACACAGATAAAATTCACTTTTATCACAAGAATTGCGAATGTTTTTTTATTTCACATCCATCATAATAATATTCTGATAAACAAATCTCTGAACTAGGATTTCATTTGATATCTTCAGTATCTACGTTAGTTTTAGGCGCGATGGGCGCCCGAACAGGGCGTTGGACATAAAGTGGCGCCACAGGTCTGGGAATTACAGTCTTACTTAATCCAGTTAACCCCCCTCCTCCACTTTCCAAACATGGTAAAGAGAGCGTTGTAGAAATCTTGACCAAGGCGCTGGTAGCACTAAAATTGACACTGCATCATGTTTCATACAGCATAATTTGTCTGTTAAATAATGCTCTATACAAAACTTCAAGAAGCAAAAACTAGGTTATTCACGTGTTCGATATCAGAACAGATTGTAGTTATTTTTAGCTTATGTTATAAAATATTCAAGAATGTGCCACACACATTCGTAAATCAATATTTGATTTGCGATATTAAATAAATAACATTATGTACTTAAATATCAAGTAGTTTTTTAGTTAAGTTTTTCTTAAATGCATATTTATTATCTGTCAAAGTTTTAAAAACGTACTTTGTAATTTAAATTGCTGAAAGTCTTGATTAGTATAGATTTGTGAAGTTAATAAAAAAAAGATTTAATAAACAACCTGTTGCTCGCGACTTTCTCGGCGTCATATTAAAAAAAAACATACAGATGAATTGAGTACCTCCTTCTTTTGGGAAGTCGGTCAAAAATAAGTAACATACTTACTGATAACGTAGCTTTTTAACGGTGAAAGAAGTTTGGAAATCAGTCTAGTAGTCTTTGAGTTATTTCAATACATACAAAAATACAAATCTAGCCTCTTTATAATATTAGTATAGATGGAGGAAACTGGAAAACTTTTGCCAATATATATACACAAACCTGCGAGGTTCGGCTAGTGCGTATTTAGTTTACGCTATCCAAATGCAACGTCAGCCGTCGGAACAATCATTCATCGAGTTTTTCTTTCAAATCTCATCTGCTATTTTCGGCAAAATTAACGTTATTTTTCTCGCGCAAAAGCAATATTTATGACTTTCTTTATTCAACCACGTTTTGTTTATGTTTCGATATTTTGCTTATATTCTTTGAAAAGAATCGGTAACAATTAAAACTCGAACTCGAATTGTGAATAGAAATGTTTATTCTGAATGAAACGAGGGTAATTTTTTGCGCAGGCGTATGAAAATGTCAGTAGTGTGGGTTTGTAAGCATCCTTAAATCCATTTCTTGAGTCATACATAAAATCATTATACAAAAAACTCGCCAGTATAACATGTATCTCCAACAAAATTAAGGAAACCAGTTTGTTAAAAGGAGTATGTAGATTGGGAATATGAAATTAACTTGAGCAATTTTAATGATTTTAATCCATAAGCATCAAAAATATTATAATGAATCAATTAAAACAGGATTTGCACCCGCTAGTCTCTCAATGATCTTGTCACATGAGTTTATTCTTAATTTGTAATGTCTGTCATCTTAAATATCTGATGTGAATGCTGGCCTTTTTTTCTTGCTGATTTAATATTCCTTGGCGCAGGCGATGACGTCTGCGGTGACCTAATTTTTTCTTTTATTCACGATGTCCGTCACAGGCTTGCTTTAAAATTTATGATTTGATTTATTAATTGAAGAATTTATAGTGATAATACTGTATATCAATATTTTATAATCTTTTTAAAAGCGCCTGTGTGTATTTTATAGTGATGTGAAATGATTCAGGTTTACTATGAAATTCTCACAGGCGTTAAAACCCGTCTCTACGTCGATGATGAATTTTTAATTTTGTAATAACTAGTAAACAGTTACGAAAACAAACTCATGCAACATGGGCGTAGAGTTTGACGAATACATGATATTTATCTTTATTTTGACGGCAAAGCTAAGCAAAAATAATTTCACTTGATATAGTCCTTACATGTATATATTTGGAACAGGCCACATTAGCTGAAATAGGCCGTTGATTACAGCCGGCCTCAATTTACTGCATTGATTCATTGAAATATTGAAAATCTAATAAGAGTTTTGTAACATGTTTCAATGTAAACGTGCTAATTTTAAGTGATGTGTAACAGTTTAGAACATGAATTCCAAAATAACGGTCCGCAAGTTATTGAAATATTTTTCTCAAAAGAGTTAATTTAAATCAGTATTTACATTAAATTGTCCATTTATAAGATTATTTCCTACGTAAAAGTATTTGTTTTGAAGGTTACTTTCAAATTATGGTTGAGTAGGAAATTTAACAATAAATTGGAAATATTTAGATAACTTTTAAAAAGTTTCGCACCCCTGACTTAGACAATTGGATCTATATAATTGAGCAATGGTATAATTTGTAGGGCGTGCTATTAGCACATTTATATTACTTTTAGAGCTCTGTCTTCTTCGACTCTAGTCATTGTCAAGTCGATATCTTTCAGAGACTTACGGCTGGGTTTAGAAACTTACCAGGTAAGATTTTAATTATCGCTATTTGCTGCTTAATACATCTTTACAACGAGATATGGGATATTCATGACAACCAAAATTATTTTTTTATAAAGACTGTTGTTGTTATGAATATCTTTTTCTGTTCCTTTGATAACTTTACAACTGGTTCTGGGTATATTTTAGTTCATTTAATATGTTAAACTATATGGCTGTAGAGAGGCTGTGATCACATAACTAATTCGTTTCATCTGCAGCTTATTAAAATAATTTATGACATTTTCTCGAGATATCAAAATTATCTATTGTAGTAGATGTTTAATTGATAATCTGTTATCTTTATTTTTAGTCATGGATCCAGCATTAGAATTCGAACAATCGTTAATTTCACGAAACCCATCTTTGTTTGAGCCTGCACATCGCGAAAACTCCGCGATACAACGTTTCTATGACGGTCGAGTTGTATTTATTACGGGTGGATCTGGTTTTATGGGGAAATTGCTTATCGAAAAATTATTCAGGTCAGTAACATTTAATAATACATAGGTGATATTGGAGTAAATTATTATTACATGAAACATAATATAATTTAAATCAATTACTTTTTTTTCAGAACATGCGAAATAAAAAAAATGTATGTGATGATTCGACCCAAGAAAGAAACGATGCCAAGTCAAAGGCTTGCGAAGACATTTGGAGATCCTGTAAGATTCTACAATGTGAAATAGTTTGTGTGGTAATTTGAAACTAAGTGCAATATCTGCTTTTAGGTGTTTGATGGCTTGAAAAAAATGCAACCGAACTTCATTGATAAAATAGAAGCAATCGAAGGAGATATTGCTGACATACGATTGGGTATAAGTGAAAGCAACTGGAAGAAATTAACCGAAGAAGTAGATGTTATTTTCCATATGGCAGCCGTAGTTAGATTTGATGCACCGTTGAAGTCGACTGTATTGTCCAACGTTCGCGGTACTCGTGAGGCACTTCGTTTGGGAAAATCTTGTAGATCCCTACGTAGTTTTGTGTACGTCTCGACTGCTTACAGTCATGCAACTCGAAGCCGCATCGGAACTGAGATATCTGATGATTTTCATGAAAGTCCAGCATCCCCTGATGCGCTTATACAACTTGTTGAAAATCTTGACGAAGACAATCTTAAAGAAGTAACACCAGCGTAAGTTTTTTTTTTACAAAATATTGTTTTATTCTGTGATTGTTAAGGCCTGTACAAGACCATTAAAGATGTAAATAAAATTGAGAATTGGATAATTTACAACATCGAATTCTTTGTTTTCACAGTTTGTTAAAGGATTGGCCTAATACATATTCATTTTCAAAAGCTGTCGCTGAAGAAATGATACGTATAACTGATGGAGACTTACCGATTTGCGTCGTCAAACCAGCTATAGGTAATGGAATCTGTTCTATCTATACTTAATCTATATTTTTCATAAATAACTAAAATGAAATTTACAGTCATTCCAACCAACCGTGAGCCGGTTCCAGGGTGGATTGATATGAATTGTGTCTTTGGCCCAAGTGGAGTAAGTTATTTTTCACATAAAAGTAGAAACTAGTCTTTGCATTGCTTCTTTAAATTCTTATAATCTTGATTATGTTATTCGAGTCAATAAACGCTAGTGATATAGATTTATAATTGTCTTGTCTACCAATTATATAGTTTCTTTTTTAATGATTATTAGCTAAACTTTTTCGTTTTCTCACCAGCTACTCATTGGAATGGGTTTGGGATTCTTGCACGTATTCTTTGCGGATGTCAATATTAGAGTTAATATTGTACCTGGTGACATCGCCACCAATGCGGTGATAGCGACGGGTTGGGAAACAGCGAGGCGGCATGCTGCCGGCGACAAGGAGACCAAAGTGTACGCGGTTAGCAACGTAAGGAATCCAGTTAAATGGGGTAAGATATAGAATTTTACTTTACATGATTCGATGTTAATGAAATGTACTAGCATCTAAATTTACAATTTTTATCAGGATTTCTAGTTAAAGAATGTATCTTCGACTAACATGAAGACGGTGACAAAAATGTTTGAAGGGTTGGTTAACTTATATGGTTTTTACCATTTTTGTCACTATTTGAATTGAAATTTATAATTTCAGGTACGATTGGGGACTTTTTCCGTGGCGATTCTAAGAAATTTATGTCTCCTTTAGTCACTTACTACCCGTGGGGCGTCGAGACTAAATCGAAACTGATGTTCTTTATTTACTCATGGCTCTTCCATTTCATACCTGCTTACATTATCGACGGAGTTTGTATGTTGGCTGGAAAACCTAAAAGGTAGTTATTCAAAATTTTAGGTCTACATTTGTTTGATTTAGACTTGGACTTTGTTCTCATTGTTTACAGATTCGTAAAACTCTACGAAAAAGTATACAAAATGACTACAGTATTCAGTTACTTCAATTGCAATGAATGGACATTCAATGACGATAATCTACGTGATTTACATTTAGAAATGACTGATGATGATAAGGAAATCTTTAACGTTGACTTAACTGATATCAATTGGTTGGATCAAATGAATATATGGATAATTGGCTTGCGTAAATATATCGTTAAGGACGGTCTTACTGGAACAAACTACGCCTTGAAGAAATATTTCTGGTTAAGATTGGGTCATTATATTTTAACTGCTCTTTGTCTATATTCCTTATGGGAAGCTTCTACTTGGTTATATTCTTTATTTAGCTCATTTTTCTAGATTAAATTTATGTTACCTTATCTTAATATTGTTGCTGTACTTTTGTTACTTTTTGTAATAAATATTTTTCAATTTTTAAATCTATGTTTATTGTATCAAAGAATAAAGATTGTCTAATTTGTTAGTTAATTGCAGGGCTATTCATTTGAAATAGACAAATTTCATACTTTAGTTCTTCACGAGCTGTTGCCCGCGACATCGTCCACGTGGTATTAGAAAACATACGAACTATATAAATTACAAAAAGCTACGTATCCCTCGGGAATTGGACATTTCTCGGGGTTGAAGCTTATCCCATGTGTACTCCAGACTTTGTTTTATATCTGGGCCAAATTTCAATAAGATATGTTGATCCGTTGCAGAATGATCGAGTAAACATTAAAAAACTAAATTAGTGAATCCCACGGGAACCGTAACTATTCCCGGGATAAAAAGTAGCCTATGTGTTCTTCCAGACTATGCTCTAAACCTGTGCCAAATTTTGTGGAGATCCGTTCAGCAGTTTAGACTACAAACGCTAACAAACATCCATCTATCCATCCATCCATCCATCCATCTAACTTTCGCATTTATAACATTAGTAAGATTAAAATTAAACAAAAAGTTGCTGCAAAGGTGTCGTTGTGAACAATTGCTTTTATTTTTTTAAAGGTCTTTTTTTACCAATTAATTTATTACTATCATCAACACTGTCAATATTTTTTAATGTTAGTTTTTGTTTTTTTTCCAATTTTAAATCATGTCTTTAATATGGAGTGTATATATGAGTGTAAAATTGATTATTCCGTTCTTAAAATTACTCAAATAAAATGTGACAATAATTCCCATCCATCAAATAACAATATAAATGCACAATAGATCGTAAAGCTTCTGGTGTTGGCTATATGTTTTCATAGCAAACCGGTAACAACTACAATACTGCATTTTAATTCCGACTACCTACATTTTGCCTATAAAACTTACAACCTATCGTTACAACACAACGAGGGAATTATCGGAGTTACTTTACATAAATTAAATTTGTAATTGTATAATAGTACTTAAATGTTTGAACTTGTAATTAAAAAAGTGCTTTGTAATGTTGTGGATGGTATACTAAATATGTAAAGCGAAGGTAACTTTCAATTGTTCTTTTTACAACGTATTTATACTGTTTTAATAAATTACCATGAGGTTGGATTTTTGGTACCTTATGTAAATCTATACATATTCTCCTATTCTGTATATCTATACTAATATTATAAACAGGGAGTATTTGTATTTTTGTATGTAATGAAACATCTCAAAAAGTACGGTTTTCAAAAATTCTTTCGCCACTAAAAAGTTATCTGTGAGTAACATGCATTATATTTATTAATTTTACGCGGACAAAGTCGCGAGGAACAGCTAGTCTTTTATATTGTGTTTTTGAAATTCCTCGGAGTAAGGAATTATTTCGGAATTATTATTTTTGTTTTTTGAAAAGTAAAAATTTTCGTATTTCAGTTTTTAGTGTATGAGCCACAAAAGTAGAATCTGGGCAGAACAAAATTTTATCAACAAAGTCATGATATCTATAATGTATCTTTTTGGAAATAAACATATAAAAACATCGATATTAGCATTGAGCTGGTCTTATTTTTTAACTTCGCGCGGACGGAGTCACGGTCAAAATTTAGTTTTACTATATTTAAATAAACTTGCAATAAAGTGCAACAGCGCACGAACTTTCACTTTGTACTTTCATGTCTTAATTTCAATAACATTAATCGGTTAATATTTAAAAAAAACATTACTAGCTAGCTGTAAAAAAATTATTACTTAATTAAATACAATGTCCTCACAAGATGAAGGTTATTTTCGTGAATGTCAAGATCACTTTCCGGTTGGTTTCGGAAGTTAATGATTGCAGTGGAAAATTTACGCGCGAATTTAAATCTCTTGTTTTTTATTAAATGTGTGCTTGTGTAAAGCGTAAAGTTAAACCGTTTTGTAGAATTTTAATCTGCAGTTAATTCTGTAAAGTTTAATCTGACAACTTTTATTTAATTAAGAAGAGATATAAAACTTATTTTTTACGAATGTCGAATACGCAACATTGGTTGTTCACTAATACATTTCTCCGGAACAGCTCAACGGATCTCATTGAAATTGGCATAAATATAGACTAGATATATTGTATTCTATTGGTCACTAACTACTAATACTAATACTGTGTGAAACGTGACACGTGAAATTAAACTAAACTCGTGTATGATTGTCATCGACCTTACAAAAAACCCAAATCATAGAAACTCAAGTCATCTTGTTTGAATATTGTCAAATAATGACTCGAATAATCACAGCCAAAATTACACTTTAATTTACATTTTGCTAATACATCATGTATTGTATATATCTAAACAACTGTCGTTCAGCGTAGATTGGTCAATAAGAGATATTCTTAGTGTTACCAAATGTCCGCTTTAACATCTTTGCACCAATTGTCGCCCAGTAAAATACCACGACCACGCAGAAGACAGCTGTGAAGCAATTCTGCGTTTCTTCTGATTAGAGTGGTGCCGGAGGCCCAACTTTAGTCCCTTTGCTTACCCACCCTTTTTGTTATACGCAAAAGGATGGGAAAGGAACGTGGATTTGACGGTGTAGGAGATGCACAGGAGGGGTAATGTTCTCTTTACGTGCGTCTTCTTCTTCGTCGGTCTAGGGTAGGCAACGCATCCGCTATTCCTAGTGTCTACGGGCAGCGGTCGCTTTGCCATTTTGGCGGATTCAGGTGGCCGCTTGCTCGTTTACCACCTTATGGTATAGTTATAAAAAAAACAAGTATAGACCACTCACTAAGGAACTCTGAAATGGATATTAAACGATTTTGAGTGCGGGATTTATAATTATAAGTTTTTCTGAATCGTGATATTTGTTTTAATTATATTTTTACAATGCAATTAAATATGTTGTAATGTTATGTATTACATGAGCCGTTATTCGCGTTTATGTACGGAAAGTTTATTGACCCTGTTAAATTGTAAATTGCAGTTGTAAAAATATATACAGCTAGTATTGATCACTTTACTATCATCGACTAAAGTTTCTTACATGTAAAGTATCGTGGTATTTAATGTTTTAAATGTCAACAAGCTTTAAGCTCACTTTTAGCCAAATCTATACTCTATACTTATTATAATAAAGCGTGAACACACACTTCTTTGTTGCCTAAGATTTCAGAAATTACAGCATATTTTTGCATAATACTTGTTTTAATAAAAAGCACTACACTTACGTCACGCTTTAGGCTTTATATTTTCACACTAAACTTAGAGGTAAATATTTTGGATAAAAACCCAAATGTGGGAAAGAGACCATAAGTTGCTGCCAACATCAAGAAAGCAAGATTGCTAAAGTTTGTCATGTCATGTCATTTTGACATTCGCCATTAAAAATATGACAAATGTAAACAATAAAATAAAATTTTCATAATTTCGTGCGGATGAAGCCGCACGGGAATAGCTAGTTTGGAAGAAAAGTGAAATAAAACACTTGGAATAAAATTGAAATAAAACACTTAACATTAGAGAGTAACATTAGTTATTCTTTCAACCTTAATTGTGTTATTTTTATTTGTTTGGCAAATTTATAAAATAAAATTTCATATTAATAGGGTTGTTTATTTGAATTTAAAAATGTTAGTTTAGTTTTAATAAAATGAGTCATTGTATATTTAACCTACGCAACATTAAAACAAAGTTTAAAAGAGTAAAAAAAATGTAATTCAATTTAATTCTGTTATTAACCGTCGGAACATATGGGGTATTCAACTAGTGTTCATTGACATAAAGTTTTGCACATTACTTGCTAAGTAAATATCAAGTAAGACGTTCTCGAGACTAAAGATGTTTGAACCAGTGGCCGTGCAAATTATTTACATGATTTATATGGTTTTAGGACATCCTTTTGTTATGATTTTTTAAATTTATCAAAGCTGACAGTACTTTTCATCTGATCTCTAGGTTACATAGAGAAGTAAGTACTTCGTGTCCATGAGCTTCTAATTAGAGCGCACGCACCTATGACTAAACTATCGCACAACTGTTTAGTCGCTCTTTGATTCCTATGAGCTTATATAGAAGTGCGTACACTACTTGCTTTTTAGTTGGGCAACTAAACAGTTGAATTTGCTGCGAAACAATTGAAGTCGACAGTCGCAGAATAGTTGCGCGGTATGTTAGTCAAAGATTAGTTGCTAAACCACAGCTGAACGACGTAATCTTTAATCTTTTGAACCGAACAGTGATTTACGTCTAATCTTTTTTTTTTATATAATACAAGGTGGCAAACGAGCAAGCGGATATCGTCCAATAAGTCTTCTCAAAACGTTTGGGAAGATTTATGAACGCCTAATACTAGCCCGCTTACGTACTTTTATGACCACGAAAGGTATGCCTATCGCCGAACAGTTTGGATTTCGCGCCAAACATTCTTGCACTCATCAAGTGCACCGCATCACGGAACATATACTAGCTAAAGGTCAATTAATAAAAAGAGCAAAATGTCCCTTCGGAATAAGGTGACACTCTATAAATCTGTAGTGCGTCCCGTCATGACGTATGCTAGCCCGGTATTCGCGCACATCTCGCCGAAACAAATACACCGACTTCAGGTGATTCAAAATAGATTCATGCGCAGAGCCACGGGGGCCCCGTGGTACATGCGCAATAGTGATCTTCACATCGACTTGGACTTACCCACCATAGCCCAACACCTGAAGCAGGCGTCGCGTCGTTATTTTGACTCTGCCGTCGGTCATCCTAATTCGTTAGTTGTAGGTGCCGCCACCTACAACCCAATCGCGCTCGGTAAATTTCGACGTGATCATCGCAGATCTAGGCACGTTCTTGACTTTCAAGACGATGCAACAACAATCGCTCAGGCTAGGATTAAACAACTACGACAGAGAAAACGCCGTAGTCGCTGTCGACTACGGCAATCATTCCCGCGATACGGCCTCATAGCAGGCAGGTTCTCTCCTATCAATGATAGAAGCGTTGCTGGAGTTTCTTCCGCCACTTCTTCTCCCAGCGCTAACGCTTTCCGGAGTGGTAGTAATGTTAGATGTATTAATAATTATAATAATGATCAGATAGCAGCAACCGATCAAGTCGAGGTTCGGCCCTCTCGGGCGCCCATGAATCGGAATGCTAAACGCGTATTGAGTGACAGCCCAAGCCGAGGTCCCCTCTCGGGGACCCTTGTGCTAAGTCACTCCATGGAGCGACCACAAAAGCGATCTAAGAGCTCGGTGGCCTCCCAATCCGGTAATAATAACGAAGTAACGGCCCGAGCCGAGGCTTCTAAGGGAGCCCTCGAGCCTAGTTACTCATAAAAGAGGTTTAGGCTAAGCGCCATCTGCGCTGGGCCACCTCAAGCCCGGTGAATCTGTAAATGCCCCTTCAAGGCAAACAGTGACAAATCAAAAAAAAAAAACGAGCAAGCGGCAACCCGAATCCACCGAAATGGAAAGCGACCGCTGCCCATAAACATCCGCAATTGCAGACGCGTTGCCTACCCTTTATTGACGGAGGAGGAGACGCACGTAAAGAGGACATTTCCCCTTCCTATGCCTCTCCTCCACCGTAAAATGAGACGAAACGTGGAATTGCATCCACTTCACTCCTGTCTTCTGTGTGGCCATGGTATTACATCGGGCGAGCCGATCTATTTGTGCGAAGATGTTAAAGCGGGCTCTACCACTGTTAAGTGCAAGTTTGACTTAATTCGCACTTAGCTTACCATGTATGCATTTTCTTCACATTCAAAATGCATTTAATCCTCCGTTTACCTTTGCCATGCCTTTTTGATAGACAAAAAAGCCATTACTTCAAGTTAAGTGTCATATAAACCTTGTCGTTGACAATGTTAATTTGTATTGTAATGTCAAAGGAAACGTTTTGTTCGAGTAATAAAGCTAATATATTTTTTTTACCGATGATGTCAATTTATTAAAGGTATTTGAACTCGCAATTACACTTTAAAGGACAGAACTGTATGAACAAACAGAACTCGGAAATTACATTAATTTTGTAGTAGAATAGAAAGAAAAATATAAAGTAAATGCAAAAGCAAAATTAAAGGGTTCGTTTAAAAGTTGTTTCCAGAACTGTTCAACGCTTTATTTGGCTCAAATGTTGAAATTATTTTAAAAGAGTAATTAGGCTACTTACCAAGTTTTTTTTTATTCTTGCAGACTTGCGTAACACAATTAAGAGAACTAAAAAAAATATTTTATACAAAACAAAAGATAAATTCGAGTTTAATGAAACTTTTTGCTTGCTTATTTTATGTTTTTAGTTTTTTTTTTGTTTTAATTTAACTTACTATAACAAGTAATGTTATGTGTTACGCTTGTTTGGATGTGACAAAAAAATAGGGAAGCATGTAGTAAACCTGTTTTTTGTATACTCTACCGTGGGTTTTCACTGAAATAGACATATTCAAAAACATACGGTTTTCTGTATTTTTTATAAATAAGGAGAGGGATGAAAATGTGTGTTTTTAGAATGAAACAAGGCCTTAAACCCTAATTTTCTAGTTCGTCGCTTTTCAACATATACATTCCGAAAATAAAGTAATTTCCCTTAAATAGATTGAAAACTTATATCAAATAGTGTAACCGTTATTAATATTTTTTCCTATTTAATTTGAAAATAGTGAGACTTGGTTTCCTTTAGATCTAGCTTTTATCGTAGTATCAAAATTAACGGCAACAGCAATATTCTTTAAAGATTTTCTATTTTATTGTAATTAAGTTGCGAAAATGACTTTTAATTAATTTGAATAAAAAAAATTAACGAGGTTTGTCATCTGAATTTTCCTGCAGCTATAAAAATATAATTCTAGAATCTAATTCAGATAAAGATTCGCGAAAGTTTTTGTCAATTTTATATAAAAATATGAAATAAAAATATATTTATACTAAGGCGCACAACAGAAATTACACTACCGCTCAAATGTTGTGCGCCGCCGATTGTTCCGCTGCCAATTTTTTTTTTATCATTTATAAACCAGCGCTTGACCACGATCCCACATAAACCAAAGTGAACTATTTAGTTGTACAATAAAAGTCGAGTATGTGTGCACTGCCATTTAAGCTCATAGGAATCAAAGCACGACTAAACAGTTATGCGATAGTTCAGTTTCTTTTCTGTTGTGTTCACACGCTTTTGTAATAACTAGAAAAAAGTGTTTTATAAAAATACTACTAATAGTAACAGACTAATTGTAATTTTATTTCGGACCGTGAACGTAATATGTCGAGGCGATTTAGTTAAAATGATCAAAATATGCTCAATGCCAGCCACAATGTCATTTAGTTAATGCGAATTCAATTGGCTATAAAATATTCTAAACATCAAGTAGCTCTAACTTAAAGAATGTTTTTCTACAATTTTGCTGCAAGAAATAATATTAACAATACGCAACCTTACTAAAAATACATAAGTTGGATCTTAGACTATCTATACTATTATAATAAAGTAAACACACACTTCTTTGTTGCCTAAGATGTCAGCAATTACAGCATATTTTTGAATAATTCTCTTTTTAATAAAAAGCCCTACACTTACGTCATGATTTAGGCTATATATTTACGCCATTAAACTTAGGGGGTAAATATTTTGGATAAAAACACTCATGTGGGAAAGAGACTATAAGTTGCTGCCAACATCAAGAAAGAAAGATTGCTAAGGTTTGTCATGTCATGTCATTTTGACATTTGCTATTGATAATTTGACAAATGTAAACAATAAAATAAAGTTTTTATAATTTCATGCGGATGAATGCGCACGGAAACAGCTAGTAATATAGTAAACCAGCTTATGCACACGCCTTACCGGCCGAATTAAAAAATAATTGAAGACGTTAGTAACAAAGATTCATTCAATGTTATTAATAAGTCTCAGGCTTGCTGGGAATATATCGGTCTGGTGACTGCAAGCTTAGTCTACATTGCTATAGTTTCACGCAGTAAAGTTCTACGGTAACTGAACTGTAAACTATTTCTGTTGACCAAATTATTTAAACTATATTGACCTTTCGTGACCTTTGTAATGTAGCCGGTTAATAGTTCAGTTGAATTTAATTTTTATTCAATTGTTCTTTTCTTTTTTCGATTGTATTTAAATTGTTTGAATAATTCGGCCAGTTATTGTGATAAAAAGTACATTGACGATAAATACTTTATTCGATTGTATTTTTACTTCGATAGTTGTTTAACAAAATTAAAATATGTGTGTGTTGAGTCCACATTAAATGTTGTTATTTCTTTCTTTTCAAAGGGAATTAAAAAGATAACCATATGTACTTATCAATACACACACCAATAATACTTATAAATATTTATATCATTGATAAAGAAATCTCAAACTTTCTGGAATTACGTAAATAGAAACAACTATTCATGATTGTTCTCGATTAAATTAAAAATATGAAAATCGAACTAAATTTTTACCGAAAAAAAAACGGGTCTTTCGCTTAATAAATTAGGCTACATTTATTTAATATTTAGCTTAAGTTAGTCTTGGATTTTTGCATCAAACGAGTCCGCCATATTAATGTTTGTTAAATTTTTAATAAAAACTTTTGTTAAAAATTTAATAACGTTAGAAAAAAATTGCGTTTCTGTTACTTGAGGATAAGGAAAATAGTTAAATTTGATGTTTGTAATTAAAATATAATAGGTACTGAAAACGTAATACGTTAATATTGTTTTTATTCATTTTAGATTTAAAATGATTGTTTAAAGTAGTAAATTGTTGAAAATACATTAAATGTTAGATTTTTTCAAACAAGTTTCCCAGTATATAATCAAATAAATAATCAAAAAATTAATAACGAAATTGATGAGGCATACAAAAAAAGCCTACGCAATAATTTACTGGATATTTTAAGAACTTTAAATTGCGCATATTTTTGCAATTCAAAAATGATCGTCGTATTCCTGGTTATTTTTATCAAAATATGAAGACTTGTACATTGTTATTGTGGGTTTATTTTACTACACGAACAAAATTATGTTTTTAGAATTTTGTCAGTAAAACCCTATGTTTTTTATAAACAAAGAGAGACTTAGCGCGCGCGGCACACCTTTGATCGCACACCTATCGCAGAACTTTTCAGTCGCGCTATGATTCCTATGCGTTTATATGGAGGTGCCCACACTACTTGATTTTTAGTTGTGCTTTTAAACAGTTGAACTTGCTGCGAAACGATCGATCATCGCACAACAGTTGTGTGATGCGTTCTAAGGCATGAAAGAAAGTGTAATTGTTGATTATATCAGTATAGTAAAAATTTTGTGTTTGTAGTTAAAATCGAAGGTCATGGAGCTGACCTGCTCTGATCAGACCAGGTCCAAGAAATACGGGGACTTGTGCTATGATAAAAGACGAAGGTTAAAGCGATTTGGAGACTGGTCATCGTTGGAGGCACTTGTGGATGACCACGACGTTTAGTACTGAAGTGTACGAAGAGTGTCGGAATATCTTAAGAATGGATTGAATTTGGAATTAAATATAACAATACGGACACAAAAATAAGAATTACAGTCATTCCTTTCTTGTTCTTTGCAAAAAACGAGATAACAAACGTTTTCGTTCAGGTTACGGCAGTGGAAATTTAACATTGTTAACAGGGAATGTCTGATGATGGGGCAAATTACGCCGACGTCAATAACATGCGTCAGTAATTGACCGGTGGTAAATAAGCATTTTGTTTAAATTATTATTATTCGAGGTCAAAGCGTAAAAGAGTGGTGTAAGCAGAACACAAGAAACGTAATATCGGACCACGTTAGCTTGCAGGCGTAACATCAGTCGACGTTCGGAACCCAAACTGATTGGACGTGGTGACAGTTACGACAAGTGAATCATAAAAAGTTGATCTGGACATTAATGAAGTTTTAAATTGCTGAAAAAAAAACAAGTAAGTTTTTAGTTTTTTTAAATAAATAAATAATTTTTATTCAATTGGAATTTATTGTAAAAAAAATTGTATACAAAAATTAACATTATTTTTAAAATTAATGAAAACGTAACATTAATGAAATTTGAAAAAAAAAAACATTATCTTAGAAAGACGCGTAAAATCTGCAGACAAAACTTGAAATTAAAAAAATATATTCGTTACCACTAAATAACTCTAAAGCAATAAAAAAATTATAAAAAAGGCATAATATAAAAAGAAATGTTTAAATAGGACATTATATATTTTTACGTTACCACACGCCGTTATACCTCTATAATAAACATATAGTTAGTCCTATTTAAAAAAAGCCATAAAATCCATGGACCCAAGCTTTAATACGTGAATGATAAAATTTTTATATCGGTCGTGTTACTAAATTTACAAAAAATGGAACTTGTCATTTCTTCTAAATAAATTCAACTTTAATTTAACCTTAAAAATTATAAAAGACCATTTTCAAAGGTGACTTGTATATTCAAACTAGCTGTTCCCTTGCGGCTTCATCCGCATGAAATTATAAAACCTTTTTTAATTGTTTACTTTTGTCAAATTCTCTTGTAATTTATGGTCTTTCTTAGATGTAGGTTTTCCGAATTTATTTACCCCATAGGTTCAATTGCTTGAAAGTATATAGCCTATAGCGTGTCGTAAGTGTAGGGCTTTTTGTTAGTGAGTGAATTATTTAAAAATGTGCCGTGATTGCTGACATCCTACGCCACAAATTAGTGTAGAAGTTCAATTAGTTAGATTGTAAACTGGCCAAGTCAACAATCGTACGGTGACAGGTATAATTAATATTATAGACGCAGTGCAAGCATACTGAGGCGCTGACGCGTCCTCGACGTCCATAATCCGTGTACGTAATTGTATCGCTTGTGCAATGCGAGAGGAAAGTTCGCTTGCACTGTACAAAGGACAAGGAATTCGTTACATGTGCAACTAAAATCGGTGCTACTAAAACATATCACGTCATCCGCGTCATTAATTCAAGAAAATCACAAACTACCTGACTCGTTAAATCTTGTAGATTACTGTCAGTTTACACTACTCTTAGGGACTATCCTACCACTGGCTGATAGAGGTTTAGAAAGTTTGAAAATGACGCCTGATAAGGTAAAAAAATGAGATATTTTCATCACATAATTTATACGTTGGATTGTAATCAAACTATTTACAATTTGGCAGGACTGACATATATACTTACAATAAGTGTTAACTATTACTATATTTTGGTGAAGAATACAAATCTTGCATTATTAAAACGGTCAATCCGTTTGAATCGAGTTAAACTAAGAGCGCAGACGACTGTCAGTAGGGCAAAAACTAAAGCATCCATTATTAGACGATGTAATTATGTTTATGATTTAAAATATGTTGAACGTAACACTGATTGGTGAAATTCCATGACATCACAGAAGACGGTAAAAAAGTACGTTGTAATCTATGTTTCGACTAACCGTAATTTCTAGAACACTTTTCCATATCAGAATTTAATTATTCCAATTAGAAAAGGATGTGGTGGGAAAAAGGATTTCCCCTTAGTGGTTTTTCCCTCCTTTATTAATGGTAGTTAATTTTTAATTTATTAACTTGTAACACTTAAGACTCATATGACCAATACGTTAACTGAAAACAATAAATGTCTATTCATGCGAAAGATTTCCATACGTTTTATAAAAAATATTTTTGATGGTTGCAAATATAAGATTAATTTTAATCTTATCAATTAGTTCGAAGGTTAACTAAACGAGTTTAGTGTAACTTAAGTGGAATTTATGTAACACTAAAACGATACTGATACTCGGTTTTAATAGTTCATCGTGTTAAATAAATAAACTAATATGGAAATTATGTTTATTTCAATTCAAACGAATAGCAAGGTAATCAACGTTACTAAAAGATTCAGTTTCCTTGACAATTCTTTTTACGAAGTCATTTTTGGAATATTTTATTAGAAGAATCTCGAAAGCGCCTAGCCTTAAAATAGCCTTATAGTATGTTCGTTATAAGAGAACCAAGCATAAAGATGTTCGTTTCATTAAAATATTGCACAGACTTTTTTGTAATTACTTACGAACTTAGGTAAGTAATCGTACTAGTAAAAAGTTTTCAAATCACTCCTTGAATATATACGAGTAATTGTAATACATTTTTGTATGGACATTTTTTTATGTTTATTCTTGTTTTGTTATTAAAATAAGCTTATGAAGATACATGCGCTGGTTTTATATTCATCTACTTTAGCAGTTGTCCATAAATGTTTACAAATTTGCGGTATAAAAAAGGGTTTAATGTTTGTAACGCATATATGGTTTGAAAGCGTTATACGCACTACGTAGCAATGCGAAGGTTAACTTAGGTAGGAAGTTCGCAACACAACTTGTTTTAACTAAGTTATAACTTAATTACATATAATTGTTGACATAAGTTAATATTAGCTAAAGCGTTGGAAAACATGATAATTTATTATTCGTTCAAGTTCTTTTCCTTATTCTTAATAATTCTACTTGTTACTAATATTACAAATGCGAAAGTTTATATGAATGGATGTATGGATGTATGGTTGGATGGATGTTTGTTAGAGTTTGTAGCTTAAATGGCTGCACGGATTTCGATTAAATTTAGCATAGATGTAGAGGATAGTCTGGAAGAACGCATAGGCTACTTGCATTTCTTTTTTAAATTCCGCGCAGACGGAGTCGCGGGCGAAAACTAGTCAAGCCATAAGACACTGATGCTGTACTAATAAAATTTAAGTTACATTTACTAATAGCCAGTTTCTCAGCTGCTTTTAATCATTTGTTAGCGTTTTCGGTTTGATTATGTCAAAAAATGCGTTTCCGAAGTAAGTAACTTGAGTTTTACTTCAATGAAACTTGGTCAACCTAACAGTAATGAATCACTCGGTAACGATCAAATAGAAACTTTAGAAACCCAGCATAAGTCATTGCTTTTTACCGGAGAAATATATTTTAATCGGTTCACTATTTTTTGACTTAATACAAAATCAACATTTTTTTTCATTTGTCAATATCAGTTCGCATGAACTAACAAACCTTAGAACTTGGGAACCGTCATAAAGCTGATAAAATTATTTTATAGCTATTTGTGTTTTATGTAACGTAATAACAACACAAACTGACGATAAACGCACGAAGTTAGAATAGAATTAAATTTTGTAGGTAAATGGAAAATTTTGTACTGTGACTTTGTGACTAGCGGATGATGTATATTCAACCATATTTATTAAAACAATATAATGCGTACGCTTGCTAATTGCGAAATCAGTGTGGTTACATATTTATAGTGTAAAATATAACGTTTGATGTCCATAACAGAGATTGACGACGGAAAAGCAGAGTTATAACAGGTATTTAACCCACCACCACCCTTTTCTTAAGGGAAGGTGAAGTGGATTTGACGGTGAAGGAGATGCATAGGAAGGGGGAGTGTCCTCTTTTTGTGCGTCTCCTCCTCCGTCGATTAAGGGTAGGCAACGCATCGGCAATTGCGGATGTTTATGAGCAGCGGTCGCTTTCCATTTAGGTGGATTCAGGTGGCCATTTGCCACCTTATATTATAAAAAAGGTATTTAACTAAATAGTTTTTATCTATAGTTTATGGGGCTATACCGATAATGTTAATTCCGATCAATCATCGAAACCCTTAGTGTAGTTTTACTATAAGAAAAGTACGCTAAGGGACTGGTTAAATGACTGAGTATGTATGTTAAAGTTCTTTCCGTATTTGTGCCATTGACCTTTTACGTTTAACGATTTCCTTTAAAACGCTTGCTTGAAAACAGATATAGCCTTGGTGAAATTTGGGCTTGCAAAAAGTCGGTCAAGAATATATACCGACACACAAACAACCTTCGTTAAGCAGGAAGTAAAGGAAATCATTTTTATTAATAAAATAACCAAACAGTTGTTATTTAATCCACAAGACTGAAAAAATGTTCCGTTAGTCACTAAAGTTTAATAAATGAACTTGTCCACACATTAAATATAAGAAGGGAATCGATCCAATGGGAAAAATGATTCCCATTCAATCGACCGTTGGTTGGTTCTTTTAGTTTTGTTACAAGCGAATATTCGCTCACTAAAGTTTTAAATGCTTGTTTTATTACTTCAAAAATCACACATTTGTGTACCGTTATGTAATTTACCATGTGATCGTTCGCGAGGTCAATGTACTACGGACTGGAATTCAGGTATTAAATCACTTATACATAGTGCATACATACATATTTATATACAGATATGTGCGATATTAGTCTGACGAAATCTATGAGGTCAAATTCTGAGACGACTTAAAATTTGCTTCGTAAGCCCTTTTAATCTATCATACGTCAAGATTATATTGGTACATGGAATTTTACTAAGTCAAATAACGATTAGTTATGTTTTAGAATCACTAATGTTAACAGACCAAGTTCCGCAACTTTATTGTGTGTGAAAAAAACTTTAAGAGCGCGTACACTTTTGATTAAACTATTAAAGACGCGCTTTGAGTCTTATGAGCTTATATGGTGTGCGCACACTACTCGATTTTAGTTGTGCAACTAAACAGTTGAATGGGCTGCAAAACAATCGACTATCGCACAAATGTGCGATAGTTTAATAAAGTATTCTGCAAGCAGCTGTTAAGGACTCCCATAGCAATACAAGATTCATGATTGCTTCGTTCCGTTTCCGTTATGTTTTCGCTTTCGCGACTATGTGATAGATGCGAAACCAATTGGCTCATCCAAATTACGTATAAATCATAATTTGCTACAGTTATACGGCATAGATAGGAACTGGTTTAAAATCACGGCAATTTATTTTACGTCCGGGTACGTTGTACCAAGTTGTAAAGGTTTACAAATTTAACTTGTCTTAAAAAATATTCAGACCTAAAAATATCCTAAATATAGTAGATATCACGTAGAAAAAACTTTACTTATTATATTTTAG